GTTGCTTTGTGGGAGACTTTTTTATCATTTATGGCAAAAACATTTAGTTCCTTACATGGCATGGCTTGGTATTTGCCTACGTAAATGTAAATAATTGCGGCTGTGAAAGCACAGTGGCATACAGAGATGAAAACACTTCCACAATATACATTTGTATTAACTTTTGAATTACTTTGCAAGCTTTGAAAAAATTATTTATGTTGTAAAATTCTTTCCTCACCCCACCAGATTACTGGTATTAGAACAACAAAAATCTACATAAGGCACCCAGGGGAAAGTACACTGACCAACACACACACTTTTGAAAGAGGTACACTGAATTTCTAGCTTCTGGGTTGCTTTGAGCTGGAAAGGTAGGGGGCCAAATTTTTTTCTGCACTGGGTAGGTTAATTCTTTCACATCTTTCCCAGCACATCATGCCTCAGATAAACCCAGCCAGCTCCTCCCATGGCCAGAAGTCTCACGCTTACACCAAGTACCAGCTCCTGCCTTTGTCAACCTACCGCCTGGAGGAACGTCCCTAAAATTCTTACGGGGAACCCAGAGCTACAGGAGGCTCCCACTGGACGGTGACCTGGTCCCCAGCTGCAGCTCATCCTCCCGACTTACTCATGATGCCCTCCTTCACGCCGCAGGAGCAAGAAGCTGGGTTTGGTCTGTTTGTTCTTTGGGGAGCTAAGTTACTCAGCCAGACCTGGTATCTCTGGCAAAGGCATGGCGCCCCAGGAAGGGCAAGCGTGCACTGCAGGCTACCGAGAGACGTCAGGCACACGTGTGCACAGAAACGTTGTCGTGGTCACACATTTCAGCCTTTCCCCCCAGCCTGGTGGAGCTCCCGCTCATCCCTTTCTAAGGGGACGCTGTTCTGCTGTTCAAAACCCTGAGATATGCCACCCAGAGTGGCATAAATCTGCTTCTAAAGCCCATAAACGTCTCACATTTTAAACTACACATCACCTCATAAACCTGCCCCAGCCTTTAGTGATCTACCCAGAAGCCATCTCAACATTACACTGGGCAAATGACAATGCTGCAGGTCCTGTGCAATGAGTTATTTATGCCAATATTGTGGTGTAAGGCTTCAAAATGGACCATCTGCTCTGCCTCAGACTATAGCAATTTTTCAGGAAAAGAGCTAAACCTAGCAAATGGAAATCCTTCCTCCAAACACTATTTCAGGACAGAAAGGTCACTCCACAACTGCCTCAACATACAAAAAAAAATCCTGGTGGTGTAGAAATCAGCAACAGGACTCTCACAGAGTTTAATTTTGCAGGATGTCATCTCAAAAAATTATCTCTATTGTGAAAAAAAAAAACCCACAACACAACTCACCAAAGAGGGGGTGGATGCCACTTTAATCTACCTAACAAGGCCGCACGGGAGCAGCCCTTGTCCTTGCTAACTTTAACACAGAAGGGACAGGAGGGAAGGGCTAGTTTCCCCCTACCAACACCCTCACACATATTCTCCCATCTCAGCCCCAAAAATCAGTCTGTTATTATTTTTATGAGAGCACCTTCATTAACACGTCTAATAATCATCACTTCGGGGCACTGCATATCTGTAAAACAGTGTTCACCAATTAAAAGTGAATATTGATAATTGCCAGGAGGCGACAGGGCAGGCTACGGAGCTACTCGCTATTTGACAGTAGGTGCTGTGCTCCGCTGGCTGCCGAGGACGTGGTTATCTGCCTGTAGCATCTGGACTTCACCCACCCTTGTGCGCCAAGCAGAGCGACAGGCTATACTGAACACATCTTACCTCCTTTTGCTCTGAAATAAACATATGAAACAGGTTTTTCTGCATCAGAAATAGCTGTTTCTGCTCAGAATTCATAACTACCCCGTGCCAAGATCACTCCTATTTTTTCATTTACAGTGCAGACATTACAATGGGATAAAAAAAAAATTAATCTGCCAATCAAAGTCATGAAAAGTGGCAAAAGAAGATACTTAACTTGCTAGTTTGTACATGTTTGTACATGAAAAACACTTCTTGGCTACGTGATGAAAGGATGGCAAAGACACCGCTCAAAGACTTCTCCTCAAAGACATACCTCAACACCGAAACAGGGACTGTGACAGTTGTGCACAGAGAGGAAAACTCAGGACTAATTTGTACCATCTGCTCATTACCGTACCTCTGACGGTGATTTTGAATGCTTCTCTCGCAATTGAAGATAAGCTGAAAGAAAATAAACCAAGGGGGTGTTTTGTTTTTTCCTGTCTACCATCATGATAAAACCAGGGTTTCTCATCAGTTCTCTATCGTACATCGACGGCAGGATTTCTACCCGTGCACATCTGTCTGGCTTGTACAGGCACAAACACACACTGAAAAAATCAAAACTCAAACTCAAAATTAAATCTCAAACTTGCAGTGCCTTTAACCACGCATTTATACAGAGCGAAGCCTGGGAGAGGCACCCCCCTCCTGCCAGTAATCCACCCCAAAACGTTCTCCCACACAGCCGTCCCGGAGATGCGCCCAGGGCAGACAGTGTCACCGCCTGGACAGAGAGGAGGAACCCCGGCCGGGGCTCTGCCCATGCCTACACCGCTCCCGCCGGGGGCTCCGGGCTCGACCCCCTGCTCCTGCTCTCGGGCTGCGTCAGGCAAGCTGCAGAGGAAGGACACGGCGGCAAGGGTGGTTCTCCTGGGAGAGGGAAGGTCTCCTGCTCCACCACACCACCCCACACCACAGGAAGCTAACAGTTACTTGCCCCCACACAGCGTAGGTGAAATTTCTCCCACTGGATGGAGAGTCCATGTGGGCACAGCATGCAAATAAGCCTTACTTTTGTAACTGCACAGAAAGTAGTGTCTAAAGCCGTGTGGAAAGGAAGCATGTAACTCTAGGCTCAACTACCTTCCTGATCTACAAGATACAGAGATATGAACGATACCGATTCAAACATGAGCTTCCTAACAGATGGATCCGCAGGTTGTTATGCATTTTCCTCATTTAAAGAGAGATCGATCACACTGAGCCTTGAACACCCGTGCCTGGCCAGTGCTTGTTAACATTTAATGTTCTCCAGAACTGAGGACGAGGAACACACAACAAAAACGAGGGGCTCGGAGACATCCCCACACCATAACCTGCACCCGCCTGGCAGCCGCGGAAACAAGGACAAACGTACTGCAAATGCACACTC